TGTGTGTGTGTGTGTGTGTGTGTGTGTGTGTGTGCGTGTAGTAGTATTTGTCTATAACAATGACTTCATCATAAAAATAAATGAGCATTTATGATTTTGAATATTAAAATAATATACGTTATAAATAAAAGATGTTCTTCATTATTAATTTTTTTATAAATCATTTTCTTTTCAAATTCAATAATAATTCAATTTTCCAAAAGAATCTATTTTAATAATTATGACCACTATCAATAATATGCAATATACTATAAACCAAGTATCAAAATGATTAAATTACATCACAAAGTAATAAAAAACGTATTCTATAAATAAAATATAAATCAGTAAGTGCTTAACCTCAACTATACATATACTCACCAATTTTTTTTTTTTTAATTATAAAAAAAAACTATCTTTAATAACTATATTATTTCAATTATTCAAAAATAATATACAATATAACTGCTCTTAAAACTATTTAAATACCATTTCATCAAATTAAAATCAAACCAAATAATCCATAACAAATACCAATAACTTGTATATGAATACATATTATATTCATAATTCATGAGAAACTAATTGCTAATATTTTTAATTAAATACATATATACCCGTATAATTATATTTAATGCTACAACAAAAACCCAAAATGCATGTTCAACAATTTTAAATACTTAAATTTCTACTAAATATTTACTTTAATTTGTTTTTGAAAACTTTCCAAGTTTGACCAAAATACATTCAGATCTTTATACCTCTCACAATTTTCTACTGTTTAATTAAACTATTTACTTCAAGGTCTAACGCCCTGACACATTTATTACCTGCACTGCACATTATGAATGGGTTTTAAAACAACTACTTGACCTAAAACGAATTTTGAAATTTAAGTTTATAGTATATAATATATCTATGGATACCAATTAGCTTGACTTTTAAATGTTCTATTATTTTATAGCAATATATTAACTAAAAATGTATGTAAATTTTATAATAAATTTAGTAACTATATAATTGACAAATTCTAAAAATTAAATCAAATACTTTTTTTTATAAACATATATGCATAATAAATGTACAATATTATGATGTAAATTACTTTCTAATCAAGCAATATTAAGTTATATACAAAATTTATTAGTGATAACTTATCTCTCAATGTTTTTCACATTCAAAGACCATTCAAACCACACATTATTTTTCACATGAAAAGTTGAAACTTACAACAAATAAACCATATAGCTAAATCACACTGACACTATAGAACTAGCAAACAAACAATAAATTAAAAATATATAGAAAATACACACAAATATTATCCAAATAAAAAACTAGGAATATGAATAACCATTTAAAATGACACATTCGTAATTTTAAAAGATATTAATGTTTTTGAAAATATTTATTTTATACATTTTTTTTTTTCATTATAAAACAACATTTTTAGGGAAAAAAATTATATATATTACTATTCAAGGTTATTAAATTTTAAGTGTTTTACTCTTTTCAATGACCATAACTATTTTTGTTTATAAATTCTGAAACGAAATATTATTTAATGTATTTCAATTAATAAAAATTTAGTTTCGGATAAGCTGTAGTTTATTAGTTATAACTTTTAAGAATTTAAAGTTTAAATCAAATGAATCTTGTGTATTCCACTTAATTTATCCTTACTTGAAATACATACTTAAAATCTCAAAAACTATTTGTCCAAAATGTTATTTTTATGTATGAAATTAAACCAAAAAATATTATGCTTTGAAAAAAGGAATTAAATAAAGTGTCATGTTCAATAGATTGCTCGGTATTATCTTTACCAAACTCTAAATTGTTTACGTGTATGCATATATTATAAATAAACTTACATAGACACAACAGTCACTTTCAGATTCATGACTTTACCGATGTTGTAAAAATTTAAATTCAATCCATAAAAAAAAAGTCATATATTACTATATTAGTATTTTAGACTTGCCGTATAATTCAAGTTTTAATACGAAAAAAAGCTAAAGCCCTGAATTCCTTAAAAAAATATCCAATTTGTAATCTATCAACAAACCTGTCTAAATATTAGATGTCCTAAGGTTATTCGTAACGCGCAAAAAAATCATACTGTCATAAAAACTAAGAAAAATGAACTTGACCGGTATCTACCCTTCAAATGCTATACCAAAAATGCTATTTTGA